TTTAACTATTACTTGACCGCATACAAAGCGTCATTTACTTAATCACGACAAATACTGGACAACCCTATATATGCAGAAAACAGAATAGAGTTGAATGAATTGTTTCATATTCATTACAACTGGAATCAGTGCGCTGTTGACCTGGTTTTGGGCCTATTTGTGGTGCATTGCTATCTAAACACAACAGAATGAAAATGTGTTTTTGAATGCGCATAGACAAACATTCTTAATTAACTGAATACATTGTTTCAAATCGAATTCAATCTGCAGTACAAAGAACTAATTTACTCAAGTTCTTGATTCATTTGGTAAAGGATACAATGCGTTACGAACCAAGTGTTTTTTACACCACTCTGCTCGGAGTGAAACAACAGTATTCTCTAATTACTGCAGTCAAAGGTTGTCTACATATTATGGCTGATGGCACTAAATTTTTGAGCTATTGTTAGAATGTTCTTATTTAGTATAAAATTATTTCGCTGTAACATATAATGATAAGTGTAGCGACGTGCAGAAATAATTAAACACTATTTGTTAAGTTACTATTTATTTCTTTTCGTAAAACTATGTCATTCAAATCGCCAGTAACACATTTCATTCATTTTTTCGCTTTCTCAGTTAAGGTGCTTCTTCAAAAAACTATATCTGTTTGCAAATTTGTTTGCTTATATTGATCAGTTGCTTTCTGTTTCAGTTGCAACAGAACCTATTTAGCCTCTCGGGTCTCTTCTTGCAGTTTCTGGTGTTATACTCAATAAACTCAAATTATTATTCTAATTGATGTTTTTTTTCGCTGTAAATCGCTTAGGCTTAGTGGCCATATTTTTCAACATTTACATTTATATTATTTCGGTTAATATCCATTTTACTGATGATAAATTTCTTCCCCTGAGTCTGCATTTGCTTTCCGCCGGTATTGTTATTTGTTCATTGCTTTGTTTTTCCAAGTTAGTGCAAGCATAGATCAATCACCATTTTTCTTTCCTTATAATTATATCTTAAAAACACCATTAAGCCTTTATTGCGGTTTGAGCTTTCCGTTCTTCCGATATGTCTTATTTGTTCTTAAATAAATCTTTCTTCTACCAGGCTTCTGTATTGGTTTACCTCGCTGTATTTGTACAGTGATTTTAACCGGGTTTGTAAACTCAATTCAACTAAGTTTATTTATTATTATTAGTATTATTATGAACTCCTAAAACAACAGAATCTGCATGTTTGTAAATTTACAGTTTAGATTAAAAAAAATTGACCACCGTCATGCCTTTGAGACGAGCTTGATCTCGAGTTGACGAGTGCATATTCATAGAATAGCAAAACCTTAAAATCACGTATTATTGCTTAACTAGAATTTAGCAAAGTTTGTAAGTGTCTTATTATTAGTACCGCAAAATATTGAAAATCGGTTACCGGTTACTCATCAGCTATTCTCTAACAATTATAATACTAAAGGAAGGTCAGTTGACAGTCTCGATGGTTTTCAAGGAACTGCATATTCACAGAAAATCGAGTTACCTAAAAGTATGCCAGCAATTGTAATTTATCTTCCAGGGAAAGCCTATAAGGATCAGTTCTAATTTCCATTTTCCCTGGCAACGGATGAGCGAAACGCTTTTGACCTACATAAATGTTCCTTCAAAATGCTTTCCGGCCCCAGAACCCTTCGCTATCGTTTGTGCGCTCCACTTATGCTTTCATGGTCAAAGTTCCTAATTTCTCAAGAACAGCTCATGATGGCAAGGAAAAAAGTATGTTAAAACAAAACTCAAATGCTTCCAATGCAATTTAAAAATGAAACATTTTGATAGAAATATTGTGGACATTCTCTACATTCATTTACATACTTAATTGTTACAAAAGTTGGACACGGACAAATTCTGTGTTGCATAGTTTTGTCCTACAGTATAACAAGAAGTAGATATAAATCTCGGATCCTATAAGTTTTCAAATAATATGATTGTTTTTCGCTAAATAACTCACACAATTTATGTAAATAATAAAATTCGGTGGAAAGCAACTGTTCTAAAGAGCATTATGAAAATGAAGCACCGGAATGCTTGCAAAATTACTCGAAACGCAAACATCCCTTGACGAGGTCACGTTATCAAATCGACTTTTTATATGCTCTGATCTCTGCTTTATTCACACTCGATGAAAGCTCGTGCTCAAAATAGCATGGCAAAGAGACTTTAAATTAATTGGCGTGAGTTTTCTTTGTGCGGGGACGTATTTGCTTGCTTTCTTCCTTGGAACCAATCAACTTTAAATATTACACAGAAGAAAATATATATAATATATATAGATAATAACTCTATTGGATACTGGAAAGTCGTTTTATAGGAACTACACTCTACGAGCGTTATATCTTTTTGTGAAAAATGAATCTGGATTAATTCCTTAAAGGTCCAGACTTGCAACCCTTCCTAATAGAAGCCATTACCTATATGATAGTTCACGTACTTCACGTTTCGATAATAAGCTTCGTATTTTTTTTATTACTTTAGACTATATTTTATACATTATAAATATCTGAATCAGGAGACTTTACTCTTGTATGAGTTGAATAATGGAAATTGGTGTTATGTCTGAAATATATCAAGAAAAACGCATTAGATAGAAATAGATGGGTGCTGAATTGACGTTGACTATTTGATTTAATTCGACAAAATAGAACTCGTATGTCTTCAAGCGTAATACATTTCGCAGTTGTTTGTTCTCAGATTGGAATTGCATCGTCTGACTTAGAGACGATTCAGTTTTGCCGAGTTATATTTCGACATGCTAAAGATGTGCACCAAAAGCGCGTCTTCTTGGTTTTCTTTAGGCTGAATTAAGTTTGGAAATAAGGACTTATTCTACTTTTATTTTTTTTGGGATAATGCACTTAATTACCAGCTATTTATACTTTTACCAGCTATATAATTTTAATTAATAATTTTTAAATCGAACTTTATGAAACTGCCCACGAAGAAAAGAAAAGACACTTAAACAAACTGTTAATATTTGCAACAAAATACTGCTTTGAAAGCCTGAGAGAATTGAGAAAGCATCTGAAAAAAAACAGGAAGACGGAAAAAAAGAAGAGTTCACTACTGATCTCTAATAAAACGGTGACAGAAAAAAAAACGTTAGCAACCTTTCAAATGCATTTTATGCACCGCCATAAACATTTAAAAGCAGTATTAAATTCGAAGTTGACAATATTAATAAGTACAGACATCAAACTGTCGTTATTAAAAGACAACAATAACAAACAACAGATACATATATTTTGTCGTTTTGAGCCACCCTGTGATAACTTGAAGCCTGATACTGAACTATTTCGAACTACAGCATTTTAAAACTCTAACCTTTGTATTACGTTAGATCTACAATTCGTATCCAAGAACTTTCAATGGACAAGAATCAGAAATTGTTTGCCAATTCGAATATTTTCAGTCAAACTCTATTAATTATAACAACAAAATCTGAAATCAGGATGCCATAACCTATGAAGGAAAAAATCTGGGCCGCCCTGTATATATTTTTAGTTAGTTTTGAAACTAAGATTATTTACCTACCGCTCGTGGGAATTAAATTGGCTGTAAATGTTAAACAACATTGCCGATCATTTTTTTTTCATCCTTATAACTTTACAAAGTTCAAGTTTCGCACATTTGCCACAAGTACTCATTGAGTTTAGAAGTTTTGTCTGTTTCAAACCGAGAGAAGCTGGATCGAGTTTTAGAACCATGTGTAAATTTTACAGATCTAAATGTAGTTCAAATTTTTGCTCCACCATACGATTTTACTGGCAAAATGAGATTATGAACGAAAAGATAATGATGATGATTACAGACTTTAAATATCCAAGATTGGTCGTGGTGCAGAAGGAGACAAAAGAGAAGAATACAATCTTGACACAAGAAACAACCGTTTAATACACAATAGTTTCTTCAAACACGATCGCAGGAGACGGCGAATTTGGATATCTGGATCAACAGCAGATAGGAAAAATACGAAAGTCAGAATGAAATCAAATTGTTTTAATTCTGCTAAGGAAATGTAACAAATAAGGAAAAATCTACCCTGGTACAGACATCAATACTGATCATATTTCGGATGTTGTGTACTGTAGGCTCGAGAGATTCCTAAAAATTATAAGAGAAGAATAGTTGAAAACTACTTAAAGAAGAGAGAAGTGAGTATAAAAGAATTCAGATGGAACGAGAAACGAAAGCAAAGGCGCAAAAAGAGGAAATTGATGATTTGCTGCATTCTCTTCTCGTTTCGTAATAACTGTTAACGTATAAACCCAAAACCATACAATAAACATCCGGTTAAACGGTGTAACAGACAGATAAGGGATAGGAATTTTATAATAGTGGCTACCATATAAAATGCGTGATTGAAGAAATCATGTACCGAGTTTAACAACATGTAATAATGTATAATTAGCTGGTAATTAAATGCATTATCCCAATAAAAAATAAAACTAAAATAAGTCCTTATTCACAAACTTATTTCAGCCTAAAAAAACCAAGAAGCCCGCGCTTTTGGTGCACGTCTTAAGCAGATCGAAATATAACTCGGCAAAATTTAATCGTCGCTAAATCAGGCGAAATTATTAAGTAATTTCCATTACAAACAAGCGAGAAATGCAAAGCGCTAATTTTTAAAACACACTAGAATCTTCACGCTTGAAATAATTGAAATTTTTGGTCAATTTTAAGCAATTTTTGATCAGTCGACGTTTAAGCGACGATATCTTCCTTATTGTAAACTGAAAAGTCATATATTGGAAAACTTTCTGAGACGAAAGGAACCGATTTAGCTCAGAAAACACGTTTGCGAAATTTCGATTTTAGACCGAAAATTTTATAAGGGGTGGAAGTTATTTTTTTCTAAAAACTACAAGTTTCACAAAATGCCTCGAGTTCTGCATCATTCTCATTCCAAAAATTTACATAATTACACCAGATGCTTTAAATTCGAAATAATTCATATTCTTGGGCCATTTTAAGCGGTTTTTAATCCATCACGATCTTTAATAGTCGATATATTTTTACTATATGCTAAAACACATTAAATACGACTGTCGCGGAGCATTTTAGGTCAACAGCAATTCAGTGAGATTAAAAAACGAAATGCGAAATTTTGAGTTTTGACCGAAAATTTCATGTGGTGGTGGTCATTTTTTCAAAAAATATTAAGCTTCTCAAAATGGCTGACGTTCTACATCATTTACATAACAAAAAAGCGAGGACATTCAAATAAGAACAAAGCAGAAGTTTTAAATGAAAATAATGGACATTTTTGAGCAATTTTAGGCGGTTTTTCAAAATTGGTCCGTCACGGTCTTCAATTAACGAAACTTTTTGCATTGGGAACTAAAATACATTAAATTATAGAATATATCGAGAATATCGGGGAGCTTTTTAAGTCACCAAAGTGAGTGAGACCAAAAAAACCAATGTGAAATTTCGATTTTTGACCGAAAACTTCATAAAGGGTGATTTTTTTAAAAAATAATTCAAGTTTCTCAAATTGCCTGTAGTCAGGTACCACTTCTTCTCATTACAAGGAACCAATGAGTGCAATGCGCTTAATGAAAACATACCAGGAGCTTCAGATTCGAAATAAGTGACATTTTTGCCAAATTTTACTTGTTTTTACCAATTGCACATACTCGTATATGTCTTCTGCCTCGCTTACGGATGAAAAACTAGGTCGGATGTCTTCTTTGCATGACCTGACTATTTATTAAAAGGAAAACTAGGACATTTTCGAGTATAAGTGGGAATGATGGATATTTCCGTTGACGACTGCCATTTGTTTGGCTTTTCACGAAAAGTATCTACAACAAAAACATTTTTTTAGCTTAGAGACAAATCGCTAGATGAATGATTGATAACGGATTCTCACCCTCGCCGTTATTTGAATAACCTGAATATATAGATATCGTTAAGTACATGAATAATACATTTAAATAACAGAATGTTTCCATAATGACACCATAGTGTCTTAGAACAAGTTATTTAGGTAGATATTTAGAGTACGCGTAAACAGACGACACGCATGTATTCGGTTTTTATTTTAAAGATATGTAAAAATAAATTAGATGTCTAGAACTCATTTCCAGATAAATAAATTCGAAAATCTAAAAATATACTGTTGATTTTCTAATTCATAAATGTAGAAATAATCTTCATTTGCACCCAAAACGCTCTGGCTCAATCGGGCATTCAGCTCATGTCTTACCCACGCATATTTATTGTTAAGAACATTTACAGTGAAGAAAATAAAACCAAACTAATTTTCTATTCCGTTTTCCATATAGTTACTCAAGTATTCTGTAAGGGTCAAGGAAGGGAAACTCGGGATGGTCTAGTTTATCTTGTTAGGCAAAGAGGTTTCAGTGTAGTCCAGCTGTGTGGATTATCCTTTCAAGTTGTTTGTTTTCAAGTATATTTATTTTGATGAAAAGTAAGCATTCTGGTGTTTGAAGTTCGCAAAGTATGTGACAAACACTATCAAAGGCCTTATTGATGACCATAAATAGACTGGCTGTTTCCCTGCCGTTCAAATGTGTTATTTGAACGTGCATGTTTTTTTTTGCTTAAACGAGGAGTGGGTGTATTGATCTGAAGCCTAATTGGCATTTTCTTGTATACGTATATATTTATTTTTATATATGAGCTTACGAACAATCAGGAAATCAAGAAGCATCTGAGAAAGAAATGCTTGGTTTGATAAAATTAATCACCGAATTCCAATGTTTCTTAGTACTTAAAAAAATTTGAAGAAATATTATTTCAATCCTAAACAAATACCAATTTCTGCATTTCGATTTTAAGTGTTAGCCCAATTAACATGTATTTTTTATTATTTCAGAATTACCTTCTGTGGCATCACGATGAAAAATTACGTAGAAGCCAATGTTTCTCATAAGTCTCACACCACCATCAAATATGCTATGAAGATGCTCAGCAGTTCTTCTGAGACAATTATTTTCATGTTTCTGGGTGTTGCCACAGTACACAAAGGCCACGATTGGAATACTTGGTTCGTAATATTAACCGTCCTGTTTTGTTCGGTGTACAGAGTTATAGGTAAGTTTATATATATTTTATATTTCGACTTATAGAAGTTGAAGCAATTTACAAGTTACAAACGTTAATCAATCCAATCAGAGAATAAAATTGTCAATATGTTGTTTTTTTTGTTATCGCACAGTTTTTACTGGCGTTATTAAAAAAGCTATAATAAAGCACAATGAAGTGTTAACAATATTAACCCATGTAGAACCATTACGACCTAATAGCGTGCCTTTAACAATGTTGATAGAAAAACAGCTACACAGTTCGTTAACGAATTAAAAAGAAGAGTTGATACTATAAAGGTGTTTGTGCTATTTTTATACATAAATAAATGGCATTTTTCGAAAGTTATTTAGCTTTAATAATAAATTTTGCACGTACATATTCTAAAAGCAGTACGTTGGTGGTGAGATCTTGAACGAATATGTATTATGTATAAGGCAGACAGACAAGAAATGTAGGTTGAAAAACAGATAACTATATGAAGACTCGAGAATCATTAATCAGGCTATGAGCAGGGCTTTTATAAGCAATTTCATGGCAACAAGAAATGATGGAAATTAAATGGATTTCCAACCTACTGGGAATTGCTTAATGGTTCCTTGTTTTTTTTAACGATAATGAATATTGATAAGTTGCAAAGTATCAAATGAAAAAATATTGAATATAACCCAATTTACATTCCATCGCATCATGTGCATAATCTTTTATTTATATTTATATTTTATATTTATTACTAGTGAAAATAACATGTAAGAAGTAGAGTTCCCAAGAATATTAACCAAATTCTTATTTCAGGTGTTATCATTCTAACGGCTATTGCTAACCGATTTCGTCTTCACCAACTGAGCAAAGTGGAGAAGTTTGTGATGTCCTACGGAGGCCTGAGAGGTGCGGTTGCTTTTGCGTTGGTTCTTCTGATCGATCCGAAAATTGTACCACTTCAACCAATGTTTATGACCACTACAATAGCTGTTGTGTATTTTACTGTGTTTTTTCAGGTAATTGTCTCTTTTTGAGAAAAATTATACTCGGAACCCGAAGGCAATAAACAGTAAATTTAAATGGATCAAGTTATGTTCTCATTATTGATTCATGCAAAGCTAGAGCTTTTTCTGCTGCCCCTGCTGTGCATGATCGTGACCGTGAACTTTAGTGTCGTTACTACACACATGCAATTGCATACGAAGGTTTTGTTGAAAGTTAATTAAAACGGCAACATGGAAGAATAACAAATTTAGTAATAGGTTTACAAATTAAAGTTATTAAATTACCATTGCAATTAGAACCGGTTTCGTATGCAATTTTGATCAAATGTAGTTTTTTATATTTGCAAAACTGTGGAGTTCTAAACATATCAATTTTCTATCTCGTTTTGTCTAACAAATGACCATGTTTCTTGCAGGGAATGACGATTAAGCCGCTAGTCAAAATATTAAATGTGAAAACTGCAGAGAAGAGGAAGCCCACAATGAATGAAAGAATACATGAAAGAGTAAGTATACATAAATATCAATATATATATTTTTCACAAGTTGCAAGGGATTTTAAAGATTTAAACATTTCAACTGTTTATGACAAACAATATAGGTATAGTAATAGTTTTCTTTTTTAGCTGATGGACCATGCTATGGCTGCTATAGAGGACATAGTGGGTCAACATGGGAATTACCATATCCGTGATAGGTCAGTAAATTAAAATTTTATCTCTGTAGTGCTAAGCGCACTTTACGACTCGGATAAAGCACCAAGATATGTAAAATAGTAAATAGGTTGGGTTTCATCATCACTATTTTTGTTCACCGTATTTTATTTGATTTTATCCAATATATGCCAACTCTTTTGAAGATCTTTTCATCATAATTTTTCGGCTTTTTTGTTTTCGTAAAATAACTCTATTTTGGTGTTTTTCCTGTGATTTACATCGAGTGTTTCACGGAACGACAAATCGATAGAAAATCGTGTTTCTATGACATGAATTCAAGAGGAGTTTCTAATAGTATTTCATATATCACCTCTTGACTACTATTTTAATTTACCTATTTCAGTATAATTAGCATTGGAGTTTAGGCCTATATTTAGAAATGATAAATAACGAACTATACACTTCGCGTTTCTTTTAGTGTTTAAGGAATATATGAATAACGTGGAAAGGAAACTTTTAAAAGATAGGTACCTGAAGAAATATATTTATTAACTACGCTAATGTTAGATAAAAATCGTAAAGAGGTTGTGTAGAATTATACTAAAACAGGCAAACCAAGAATATAATTCAACGTTTAAAATTGAAAATTGAAAAAACGAAAAAGCAAGGAAAATAGTAAACAGCAGTAATATTTAATCGAAATTCCTTTCACTAAGAATTAACAGCAAATAAAATATAAAAACTATTTTTGAATTTCCTCACGATAAGTATATACAGGGTGCCCCTTACGTACGTGACAATCTCCCGAAACCATATAAGTGAGGTCCAAATAATACGATTGTTCATATAAAACATCCCCGTAACGCAGATATCGGGTCTCAAAATGTACCCTCCAATTTTGCGTTTCTAGTTCTAACTTTAGAATGACTTGGTATATTATAATGATTGCATGATTTTCAAACCGACCTTAAAGCTCTTGAAAGAAACCTGGAAAATAACAGATATCATTAGTTTCAACTTATTATTTTCGGCTTATGTTCAAATAGTTTAATTTTTGGAGGATCATGAAATTTCTACCCAAAAATGGTGTTCTTCTTTTATTTCGATAAATTGAGCCGTTTCAAAGATAAATTGATTTTTGTTTAATCAGCTTTAAATGCTCCATAGGAATTATCTTAAACTACAATGAGTTAAACATACCTTTGGAAATGTTTATTATCTGCTCTCTTTAATAGCAAAAATTTAATTGACATAATTACATGTACGGAATGAGGAACATCCACACGCCTTTATGGAAAGTCGACATGAACACGTGTTTATGGTAAATGTATTATAGGAAATAATCTCATTGTTCCACAACACCCTACATGTAAATTATGTGAATTAGATTTTTACTATTAAAAAGAGCTCATAATAAACAATATCAAAGTAACAGTAATTTTACTCGTTGTAGTTTACATTAATTCCTATAGAGTATTTGAAACTGATTAAACAAAAATCAAATTATTTTGACATTTTTTGTGTAAAAATCTACAGAGTCTCCAGAAATGATATGTGTATTTCAAAATAATATCAACTGTTAAATAAATATGTTTGAACCAGTCCGTTCCTGATTTTTTAAGAGCTTCAGGATCAGTTTGCAAATTAGTTTGTGACCATTTTTGGAAATATAGTTCTCTAAAAAATAATTTCAACGTACAAACTTGTTCAAAAGTTAGCCAGTCGAAATGTAAATTCTGAGGTCCAATATCTCCGTTAGAGGAACGTTAAATATTTTTTTATATGAACAAACCGTCTTATGCTGACCTCCCCTGCATGCTCTCGAGATATTGATTGCAACGTACCTACTTAAGGGACACCCTGTATTGCTATGCCATTTTCATTTTTACTTTTTAAAAATATTTTAGGTTCTCATTTTTCTCAAACTTTTTCAAGCTTTTGTGAAAGTTTATTAGAAATTAAACGCTATTGAAAAACTGAAAATATAAAAATATTTTGTGGATTGTACGTAATTATATAAATTATTTAAGTGTAATTTAAAACAAATTTTGTTTGAATCCGAGGTAGAGGCTTGATAACTTACTGGGTGAACGAATGAAGAGTCGCTTGGAGTGGAATACAATTATTTAACATAAACGACTCATTTCGGTTATTTATGATATATAACCATCATCATAGTCTTCAGTTGTGCATAATCTAGGTGTGTTTTAACCCTTGTAATGTGACTGATGACCGGCTTTTTTCCACCTGTAATTCAGTCTACGCAATTTTAGGTCTTGTTACCTGATGTTGGTTATATATCATAAATAACCGAAACGCGTCGTGTATGTTAAATAAATTTATAGTTAACTCCAAGCGACTCTTCCTTCAATCACCCAATATATAATTTAAAACAGCCGCAATAAATTGATTTTGTCGCGGTTGACTCAAGCTAAAATCAAAGTTGCAAAGCAGGGTTTAAATGGATTTAACGACAAGGAAATTTATGAAAAACCTCCAGTAAAGGATTGTGCAATTCTGGTTGATACAAAAACCGCTACTTTTACAAAGCAATTTTATGTTTCAAAAGAAAGTTTCTTCGTTTAAACAAACAATGTATGTTGCAGATTTAAGCGTTTCGACAACAAATACTTCCGGCCGTACCTTCTACGGAACCACCAAGGAGCTGAACCGAAAATTCTAGAAACTTATTCAAAACTAGCAATGCGAGACGCAATGGAGTACATGCGTCGCAATGCTTCCACCATCGGCAACATTTCCAATACTGAAAGCATGTCGGCAATTTTCCGAAATTATACTTCGTCGACGGGTAACCTCAACGGAAGGTGCGCCCCTAAATTAATAACCTGGTAAACTAACCCGGCACTGGCCGTTCAGTAACGTACGTTAGAGAGTTTCTGGCTGGGGCCCTATTATTTAAAAAAATCATTTGAAGATAAATTCATCAGAATTTCTAAGAATTTTTGTGGTTTAACTGCGCTTGAAGATTGCATCAGAATATATGCAAAGTTGAAATGTAAATCTAGATTCCTGCATTTTAAAATATTTTTTGGATTTGCCATTTTGCATTTTTTAATTATTCATATTCGTAGTAATAATTAATTGTGCAATCAAGTTGAAGAGTTAACATAACTCAACAATAAAGGATATGCATTTAACATCAATTTAGACCAAGCCTAATACATTGAAATGAACTAATAAATAAATATATGTAGTTTATGTAAATAATCAGTTTTTATCTTCAAATGATGATATTGATATTGAAGTGATGTTATGGTAGTGCATGGCAGGTTCGTTGCAGGTTATGCTTTAGGAGTAGATTAAGCATTATATTAGTCCACCCCTACACACATAATATTGTCTGAAATAATTAAAAAAAGTAAGTTTTCAAAAATTTCAAGTGCTCTAACAGTTTTTTATATTTGAGAAATGTGAAATAGCATTTTATGCAAATCAGCAATGAATAACGTAGTTCACAAGTGTATGCACATTAATTAAATCTATCGTGCGATTTATTCGCGATAGTTTGGAATTGCTTGTTGATTCCGGACAATAAAATGCAGGTAATTTTTAAACTTATGCCTTTAAAAGCAGGGGAACTATTAATGTACGCAAAGTAGATTAGCAATACAATAATTGCAACCACTGAGCACATTTCAGATCTTAAGATTTAAAGCAACTTCCAGCACAACATCATGATATTTGTAAACAATTTACACGCTTTGTTTAAACATTTTCGTGTCTGTAAAATTTTTAACTAATTTTGAGGCCTCATAAAGAGAAGTGGCCGATTTTTTGAGTTGCCGCCTCTTATGCAAGGCGACTAATTAACAATAAGGAGTCCGAATACTGATAACTTCCGAACAACAGAGCAGAGCGTTGGCCGTTTTTTAAATTGGATATCTGCATTGATTTTCTAGGAAAACCAAAACACTATTTTTAACCGATTACGAATTTAAATAGACATTAGCAGAAAATTGCCATGGAGCACATTAAGCATATGTCGCTTGTTAAAGAAAAAAATAATTAAACAAAATTTCAAATAGTTTAAAAACAAAAATTTAATTTATAGACCGCATTTAAACATTCAGCTCACATTTGAGAGATGAAGAAGCTTGCTTTCACATTATGCAGATTCTCAGAGTTAAAGCAAGTAGGTACTTACAATGAAAATACATAATTTTTCTGCCAAAGAAGTAGAACTGTTCGTAACTTCCACTTGTAGGAAATGAGCAAAACGTGGACAAACAGGCAGATCGATTCAGCAACGAATTTTGTTCAGTAACGAAATAGAAGGGAAAAAAATTATGTACCTAAAAGCCGAATACTTAGATACCTGGATTTTTAGACCCTCCAAATAAAATGTATCTTTCTACTCAAACCAAACTACTTATCTGCTGCCATAAAATAAACCAAGCTGCCAGATTTATTTATTATTGCCTATTATAAAAACATAGTTTTAAAGAGGATCGATATGTCGACATACATAATGAGTGGAAAGGATGATTTTGGCGTTTCCAAAAAGTTATTTACTGTAAATATCGGTAGAATTGATGCGATTTTTTTCCATGAGAACGGGAAAATTGCCACATGCAGCTCATTCGTTTGTCATCTAGAGTTCTGGGGTTCCCAAAAATCCACTTTCCAAGTCCAGATATTTCCAATCAGGAAAACTTTCAACTTGAAAAAATACATATTTAGGCCAACGTTCACTATTATACGTGTAGATTCTGCAGCTATTCGATTGCCTATTATTAATTGATCATCCTGTATAATAATATTAAACTAAAACTTTAAGACATTTTACATTTTTATATAGCACTATTCAGTTGCCGTAACTTGAACATAACACTTTGCACTTTCATTACAAGTAACTAGTAATAGTTCATTTTTTAGCTCTAGTTTGAGTCAAATTGATACCAGTTCGTGGAACATTGATATGCAAGAACTGGAATATAATCCGTCTAAAAAGGATCTGACCGATGCCAAGATTCATCACCTCCTTGCTGAAGAATTAGTTAAGCCCTATCGGAGGGTAAGTGTAAGTATTGCCAAACATTATTATTTTTTGAAACTCAGACTCGACAAGTTGTACATTTTATTCCAACAAGTTATATATAAAAGTTCATTCTGCCAATTTTTCGACCTTTTAATAAATATTCAGTTAATCGCTTTTACGCTTAAGGTTTTTAATGTTGTTTTAATATGCCTTTTGGAGATAAATTTTCAATCTCAGTCACTTCTCATCCATCTGACAAGAAGCAATAGGGAAAGTGTATTCAAGAACCAATCGGATGAACAAAAACGGATATTTGTAGGTAAAAGAAATTATTCATCTAGATTTAACAGAAGAGGGAAGCGTATTTAAGAGGAACAAAAAATTATTAAGAAATAAATGATATATGAAATTAGAGCCTAGGAAGAAAATCGAATAAAATAAGCTAGTAAAAACGGACAGTGTGAATTACACATCCGAAAAGAAAGTCTTATTATAAGAATAACAATATACTCTGATCGATGGGCCACTTTAAGAACCAAAGCAAATATTCAACTTCAATTTGAATTAATGAGATCTTATTTTAAATACATAACAAATTAATTGTTCATGATAAATGACTAATGATAATAATTATTAACAAATTTAAAGAATGTACAAACCGTTAAGTCCAATGCTTAGTAAACCAATTACCCACAAAGTTTTCTTATTAAAGTAGCCTCAATTTCATTTAGATTTGTAAAACATTCTTATGACAATGAAAATTAATATACATTAGCAATCCTTAATATACGTTTCCGTAAAGCAATTTACTTGTATGTGGTGGTGTCTTATAAAAATTAATTTATTAAATATTTATCGTTCTCTATTGAAGTGATACCTATTACATAAGTATAATCGCAATATCCCTACATATTTATGTATTGTACATTGTAAACATAAACTAGATTAATGTGAGAATTCAATTCTTCTAAAAGCTTTTCCTCATTCAGCGCAAATTGAATGCATTTTAATGACTTCATACATGAAATTTAAATTTTTATTTATTTAAATTCTTCTTTTCTAAAATAATTTTGGATTTTTTATATTAATGTTTATGAGCGTTTCGCAACTTGAAAATTTAATTTAACTGATAAAAATGTTGCTTTTCTTCTGTCGTCTGAAAATTCAGCTCTAATGAAAAAGTTAGTTTTTAGCTAATGAGCGCTGTTTTTTTAATTCAGTAGTTTTACATTCGACTGTAGCTTCTTGACCTTAAGTAACTGATGTCATCTGAAAATTTCATTTGAAAAGTGAACTTTCTTGCATTTTCAAAATTGATCAAAAATAAGTTTATTTTAAGTAAAGAGTGAGATTCGTATTGTTTATAACTTCGAAAATTTTAAATTTACGTAAAATAAGTTTGCGGGCTGGAAAAGATTATAATAAAATCTGCAAGCAATTAATATTCGAAAGCTTAAGTCCAGAAAACAGTTTTTTTTATCTCACCTATAAACTAATTTTAAACTAGACTTAATTTGGTATTACTCATCAGCAAGAACACAAACACATACATGTGCTTAGTTTCTTATTTTAAAATATTCACAAATAAAATAATGAACACAACAATTGAGAAATATTTGAAGTATTATATAACGCGAGAATTGTTCAATGTTGAATAATTCAATGTTTTGATTCGTTGTTTTTCACGATCATAAACAAATAATGGTTGTGTTTGATCGTAATTTTCACTCTCTTGTTGTCAAATCTGAGAACACTAATATATAAAATAAATTAAATTTGAAAAATGTCGATAATTGACCAACGCTCTTTGCTGATTCAATCTTTTGAAGTTTCCAAATAAATTTCAAACTTATTTTATACTAAGTACTATTTTAATTTTAAACGTTTGACTGCAAAAAGCTCAAGTCCGTTTTTACTTCAGCATCGGCGGTTAAGCTACAGTAGACATGCCGTGAACGATCGTGATTTGTCTACACAAGTGAACTACAGAATGCATGTTAACATGAGAAGACTGGTGGCTGATAAGAAACACCATCACAGCCATAAAAGACACAGCAAGAAATTGAATAAGGTAGTAAATGTAAAGGAAAAAATGCCGTTAATTGTATTCATTTTGCATTTGATAATGTTTGTTACAGAACGGAAAGGAAAATCACGTGAGCTTTCCGGAGTTCCAGCAAAATGGAACGGCAAAACAGTTTTCACATGGTAATATTTTTTTTGCTCGAACATTCGCGTTATTTCAATTTGAAGTAGACTTTATGAACTTTTTTCTTGATTTTATTTGTCGTTTTTCCTCGAAAAGACTACATAAGCGAGGTGTTGCACGAGGATGCAGATACTGAGCCCAGATCAAACAGGGAAGAATGGGACAGTCCGATTACTTTTACTGCAAAATCATCGCGTAAGTTTAAACTTGTAAATTATCAGCAAAAAAACAGTTATTTGACATGTGCAGTTTGTGGTATTTTTGGAAGTAATCAAGGTGATTTAATCGTTGGAAAAGGAGCTGCGCAAAAAAGTATTTCTGACAAAAACACATTTTCTAATTTAATGTATGTAGGTACATATGTTGAAATTTTGAGATTTTAAGCTTCATGCTAGACATGATAATTCGTTGTCGATGTGTAATTTAATTTACTGAAGTTCCTTATTTACACCAATTTATGTATCCTTTACTGGCCTATATGTTTATGAAAGAGCTATTTTCAGATAGCATGCAATATCGAGTGATTTACGGTTAGAAACTCATCCAATTTGCCATTGGAAAGGAAATATTGCATTAGGTCAAGGTGGACGGGCAGATTTGCGTTGGCAATTTTTATTTAAGGCCAGTTTTCCACCGACTAAATCAACATATTTCATGCGAAGGTGTGCTGAAATGGCTGTTTGTGAAATTGCTTTTCGTAGCGATTTTTAACTACAGTGTGATTTTTCTTTCATTTCTTATCTTTATGCATATATGTTATTTTTCTTAAATAATATACTTTTTGTTATTGAGTTTTATTTTGAGTTAATGAGAAAGGCATGTGTAGTAGCAACTAAACTAGAAGGGAAAAATATTCATTCTACACATATTATGCTGTATTAGGGCCAACGCGCACTGTTGAGCCTTTAACCGAAGCGAAGAACGCAAGAAAAATAAAGAAAAGGGAAAAACTATGACCACTTTATGGCAAAAATCATATTAAACCGATAAATCCGGATGACTAGCCCAAATGCTAATGAAAATTATACTCTTATCTTTCTTGGGTTTCAGTCAAAGTGCGAAGTAAAAATTTTGAATATCGTTTATTTCATTATGTTTCGGCGAGACAACAGCGCCATCATCAGACTTAAAATTTACACAAACTACAAACACCAATTCACAATTAAAACATGTTGTATAAAAACTATAATTTATAAAGCGTTAAAACATTCATCAGTTCTTGAGGGAGAAAAATTCTTCCTTTGAGGAGAGCAAAACATTTGAAAAACTTACCTCCTTACTTACTTACCATAATTGGTAAATTGTCGCTGAAACGTAATGAAATAAACGATATTCAAAATTTTTACTTCACACTTTGACTGAGACCCAGGAAAGATCAGAATATAATAACAAGTACACGCAGACAGGAAAATAAATCATCAGGCTAATGAAAATGTTACAAATGTTCAACTCTTGTTGAACAAAGTCACAAGAAGAAAAAGTCAAAGAACAACAAGAATTTCAAGATTTATTTCCCGTAACAAGCGAAATAGTGGGGGTGCGGACAAAACATATTTTTGGAAAAGATTTAGATCGAAATTCCTTCGTTTCTACTGGCTTCAGTTAAGATATTGCATCTTCATTTGAATGGATGTAAACGATATTCTTCCTACGGCAGTTTTTATCAGAGCTTCGCTTCGGTTCGATGTAGTGCGAAGTAGTCTGCTCTACTTTGTGTTATAAACGGAAATCTTGGGCATCAATTTCTCACTTTACTTTAGTGTGCTTATTGTTTGTTAGTTTTATGATTTTTTACTCAAATAGAAATTTTAAAAGCAGTGAATTTATTTTGGTCTTTTGTGTTTTAAAAGTTTAAAAAGTGTTTTAAAAAATCAACACCTTGGGTATCCCAAGATCGTCGTTTTTATGCCTTCTGCCTTGAAACTAAGCTGTTATTTTTTGTTTATATTTTTTCCCTAACGTGTATCTTTAGCTAGCACTGGAACTGACGATAACAGCGGCAGTTTCGCTAGTCAGACAGCTCCTTTAATGAGCTCGATTGCTAAAAAACCTACCGTCATGGAGAGTGTTCTGCCCTGGAGAAGGGATCGGAACGGTACGGCCATCAAGTGATTTTACTCAGATGCTATTTTCGTGTACTTTGCTTAATTTATTATTTACATATGCAATTTGTATGCACAGCTTTTATAAAAAAATACCAAGCGGCAAAGCCTTATATTGTAATCAAATTGTTTTATTAATGGAGGCATTTCAATCTAACTCTAAAAAACTGGAATTTATCCTAATGATATATAAGCCATGTGCTGCTGCTTGGATTAGATATCCTTTGATTGCCTGCAGTATTTGTGAGAAATATGTTAAATAATAATATGCAAGAGTCTCGAGATTTAGGTAAGATCCAGTGGGTAAGTTTTGTGTAAGTTCCTTCTCTACGAATATCTTCTTTAATTTACTTTAGCCCAACCTTCCATTTATTTGTTATTGAAACTAACTACTTAAGGCTTGAAACTTCCTGCAATAGCGTGTAGAAGTAGCATTTTCAGGAAAGTAGTAAAGTAGCTGAGATCTTTGGTAGAGGTAGATAMTCACTATTAGAGAAAGCATGGTTTATTTAACTTTACTAGCAATCGGATTTTTCCTATTAAAACCACAGTTGTGGTGTGGTGGAGGRATGGGACATACAGATTCATAWTTTTTTTAAATAAKAAACTTAGCGTTTTTTCCAGTCAATGACATTTTATTTKATAAATTGAGAAGCATTTTTATGAATTTTATACGTACGCAAAAATGAGAAATAAAATAGCCGTTACACGGCCAAATTTCGACTAATTTTGGWCTCGACTCGATAAAGAGCGATTCTATTTCTGTTTGAAGCGTTAATTAGTTCAGTTCTCTTTCGGTTAGTGCGCGTTTYTGCTAAAAAATTGGGCTTCAGWTAARTTTTCYACAGGGTGGAAAATAAAACAATRCAWAGTCTCACGTGTTCTCAGTTTATGGTATTCGAGCACCACCTGCATCGTGGTGTAATATGACCATATAAGATACATAATCCACATATCTCGCAAACATTTTTCAAATTTTCGTCCATCTGAATTATTTACAGAGTGGACTAAAAAAATTTAACTTTTGGGTTTGCAGTGATACATTTTTTCGTTTGAATCAATTTTCAAATTATAAGCTTCTAGTTTAATTTAAAACTCCACAGTCGACTTCTGCAAAAAATTCAATAACCGCGTTGCATAAATTAACGAAATATTCAAAAGTGAACTTCACTTTAATTGAAAGTCTGGTAGACTCAGTGGCTGATAGTCAATGGTGATTTGAGTTATTCCTCATGCAATCCTGTACAYAGAATTTTGAAGAGAAAATTGTCCAAATATGATGTTTAAGCGTCAACATTTTTTACACTACCCTATAAATGGAAGAGATTGCTGAAACATTCGAAAACCCTTTAAACTTTTGGTGTCGGGAACTAAAGAAATCGTATTTGTCCAACTACGAGGACTTCATGCATTTTTAGTTTGCCCTGTACCAAATATATCTTAGTTGCTTAATGTTTATTAAAACACTGACTAACAAAAAACAAATAACGCTTCAAACAGAAACCAAATCACTCTAAATAATCAGAACTTATCGACTTCCAAGGTAAGGAAAAACGTTCATTTTGTTGAGCAGTTTAGTTTCAGATACACTTTTCAACTAAAGATTATTCCATACACTTATTACACCATGTACCTATTTAATACACTTAAAATGAATTAATAACAAAAAAGCGCTGTAGATCATTGAAAGTAATAAATAAAATCAAACAGTATCAATATGTTGTTAACTATGCAATTGATTGGGAAATAATAGCGAGATTCACAAATGTGGCTGTCCAGAGAGCCCGGAAAAAATCTATTAAAACTTGAAGCAGCAAGACAATTTTGTCAACTATTCACTTTTTTACAGTTAAAGATCAACATATTTTTATAAATCTACTTTTTTACAACAATATTTGATGTTTAGAAGAAAAAATAAAAATAGGAATAATTACGTCGATTTAATAAATATTGGCTTGGATTTGGATTTCTTGGATGCTTTTATCGCCAGGTCAATTTAATAATTTTAATAATAAAGAGTGAAATATTCTCAACTGTATTTCAAGATATTCAGAAATCGGGATGAAACTGATTAGGTACAAATAACTTTCGTGGCGTTTTGGTTCTCGTGCGTCTCATGCATTAATGTAAAACCATTTTTCTAAATAGCGGCATTTAAAGTTGATAAACTGTAGGAAAATTTACACGTACGCAGCTGTATAGTGTTAAGAATAATTCACGAGCGGTTTAGCGTATTTTCAAAGCAACTGCAGAAAATAAAATTATACGATCCGCAAGAACTAGGGAAAACCAATCAATTTTTCAAGACCTGTTGGAGTGTTTAAGTGCACAAACGTGAAATATTTCATGAGCAGAAAATTGGGTTGTTTCCACGAACGTAATGAAGTAGACCTTTGACTTCTGATTTTTTTAAGAGCTAGCAGCAGCAGACCCTCGTTTTAGTTTGATGTTTAGACATACTTTTCGATCCTACAACTTGTAATTTTTTGAGAGTTCAAATCATGGATAAGATAAATTTGTCTTTAATCTTAATTTGAAAGTAAAATTTTCTTCTTAGTCTTCTATATACAACTCATCGCTAAATTAGTGCAACATAATCTATGCACCAATATCCCAATTGCATTATTAATCTCTTCAACTATTAGCATCTTGTTTTCTGCCTTTAGTTACAGATGACAGTAGTTACACTGAAACCGGAAAGCGTTTATCCAGAGGATCCATTGACTGTAAGTATACTTGTGTACATTTAATTATTCTCGTATATGCTTCTAATAGTTGCTGTGAAATATTACAGACTTATTAAGAGTGGGTGTTTTATTAGACCTTTTTACAAACAACTATTATGTAATGACTCCGAATGCTTGTCGCTTTTTAGTGACTTTGTTCTTCAGCGTTCAACAGAATTTTTCGTTATTTTTGTAGATGCTCATAATATACTTATTTAAAATGTAGGTATTTGGCAAAGCAAATTTTGCAAAGTGCAGCTGATCAAAATTTGCTTTTGTTAGATTTGTACAATTGTAGATCATATGAAATATATATCGACCCTATCTGGGTAACTTGTGCTGTAACTAAGAAAAATAAAAATGTGGATGAAAACAGTTTCAGCTGCATATGTGAGCATGTATATAATTTTGGAAAATATGGCTTGGAAAAAATAGCGGTATCTGTAGTTAAGGGTTCGCATTAAGTTGCCTAATTTTATAATATTATAATACTGACCACTCAAGTTATATGACATAACTTGAGTCTAACATATGCGGAGTGCTTGTGGAAACAAATTGAACATCCTCTACATGGTTGTGAGATAAATGCTATTAGATAAATAAAATAATAGTTATAAGAATGAGCTCACAGTCATTCCTTTACATTTTCTTGTTTTTCTTCACTCTTTCGAAACAAAGTCGATCTTAAAATTTAGACATATCTAATAGGTTTATTTAACAATTTTTTTTAACAAAACAAACAAACGGAACCAGGTCAACAAGACAACCAGGATAACAGAAAGGCACGAACCAACGAAATGAGAATACTATGAATGATCACAGGGACTATGGGATCAAAGAAGGAGTGACGAAATTAGGGAAAATTCAAGACAGAGGAGCTTCTGGAACGAGCACATGTCCAGGATGGACAACCAGAGTTTGGCAAAAATCGCGGAAAATGGAAAACTAGCATCCGGCAGACCATTAGGACGACCTCCCAAGAGGTGGCTGGCAGTCGGCATCCTAGGAGGCACAAACGAATGGCTAAAACAAGCCTAAAGGCTTCCACAAAGAAGAAAAAGAAAACTTCGTATACCCACCGAAACTGACAATATCATGCTAATTACCTATAGCATTACGACCTAAATATAACCCCATAACGCATGCACCTGTGAGCGGACTAGAAATGTGTACAAATGTTAAATGATGTAATGCAATTTTTTCCAACAACGTTTTTATACGACTCGTATTAAGATAGTTATTGCACATGTTACATAAAAAGGTTCAGAATGTTTCATAAAATCTAAAAATTGTGACTGCGGATTTAGTAAAATTCTATTTTTTGCAAAATGCAATACATACATCAGCACTGTTTACATAAGTAGCCAGTTTTCATAAAAGTCTAATAGGACACTTCACCATGATAATCATGTACATCGGAAGGCACAGTAAAATAAGAAAAACCATTCATTTTTGCATACCCAAATAACTGACCTCTGATTTATTACTATTCATAGGTTGTGACTTGATGAGAGTGACGACTCCAACAGCTACCGAAATGATGTTACCTTGGAAGCGGGATGAAGAAGATGGATGCGGTCCTCTTCAGCAGGCCGAGTTTCCATATTGGGCATCAAACAAAGAGTATTTGGCCTACAATTCTCCCTCAGCTACATTTTTAGGTATCAAACAAACACAATGAATTGAAACTGATAAACAAACTATCGAGGTTTCGGATTTTTAAATCTCAAACGTTGTTTGCAGGTGGCCTAGAGAACCCCAATAAAAACACGATTTTCGGCCTATTCCACCGCGAAAGTCTTGGTTCGGAACCAACAAACAGCAGCGATTCAACACCGCTGAAGGAACGAAGAGGATCGGTCAGCCGAACTTCAATAGTACTTGTTGAAGAAGGCGAATCGGACCCGTTGGGCGCCATTCCGAAGGAGAATTCGCTCCCTAGACAACATTCCCTTGGAGGGGCTCCACCAATTCCTCCTCCTCCACAGACTCCCGGTCAAAGACGACAAGCTCGACGAGGTTCCATGCTCGAGCTAAGCGGGTGTGTTTCTGAATACACTAATCATATTTAGGGACATGTAAGCGAAAATCTGTATGTTTGTGGGATGGGTGTTGCAACCTGCAAAAGCAAGAAACTCCTGCACGAACATGTGTGTTTTTCGAAAGGCTAATAAAATTTGAATCATATGAATTCTATGGCTCTTAGTAAATTATTGGCTATTTGAAACTCCACTTTGCCACCAAAAATAACATATCAAATGAAAGGAATCATATTGTTGCAAGCTCACGAAACAATAGAGGATGAATCTGATTTACTCTGGGAATTAACTGCAGAATTAATATTATACAGTCCGATTTCGTAGCTTGCGTAATGTTTTCCAGAACTCTTCACGTTAGTAGTTTCAAATTAATTTTATTAGCCTATGTCTGCTAATCCTATCTGTCGCACTTGTATCTATGTTTGAATGTGGTCATATTTCTATATTATTGCACCATTTTCTATAACTATATCGTCTTTAACTTCTTAAACTCTCCCTGGCTATGTAGCAGAAATTAAATTTATTATAATGTGCGAAATGTGTATATATGTGTATCTTCTCTATACTTTTTAGGATTTAACCAATTAATATAAATGCAAGAAGTTAATTTCCTTATTAAATTCAATTATTAAAATAAAATTATATATACAGAAGCTCCATAAAAAACGGACGATGTCACAAAATTGTTTTTCCAAATTCTACTTCGAAAATCAAAGACTTAATCACAATAAACCTGACAGGATATTTTTCATTTCCGACCAAATTCCATTTTTTGAATTTTTTTTGAATCTCGCAAAAAATGTGCAAAAAGATTTTAGGATAACAACGGTAAGTTACGTTAAATGATTTGTAAAAAGTAACAGCAAAGGTAAAATACGAAAAACTAATTTCCCATCATGTTTTTCATAGCTTTCGTCGTGCACAATAAATTAAAAAAGGTAAATGCATTTAGGAGCCCTGCTGATGTTTAAAATATAGCCGCAACTTTGAACACAAAATCCGTTGATTTTATGTTTCCGCAAAATATATAGAATAGAAAAACTATAGTATTTTCCACAAAGCTCAGAGTTTCTGCCAAGATTTTCACCCACGATCACATAATATAATGGTTCACAAGTTTTGATAGAATACAGGGTGTTATTTCTTCGAAGGTCAGGTGCTCTTTCAGAATTTGTTTTTCATTTTAACTTTACTTTAATTTAGAAACTCTCTCGTGTTTTACGTTCCTACCGTAATCATTGTGAGGCAATTTTTAAATAAACGATTGATTCCAGTTAGAAAGAAGAAAACAAATGCAAACAAGCTATCATCATTTAATTTTTGAATAAAATTTGCAAAATATCACGATTTTGTTGGATTGAAGATAAACTTACGATCACACTTTCTCCAAACGATTGGAGTTGTGAAAAAATGAAAATAAATTAAACCCTGCGTATCGAAACGAAACATTTCCCAACATATGTGTATAAGCAAAATGAGCTTGTAATAAGACGCTSGAATTGACTGCCAGTGCCCTGCTAAATTAAACCGAGCCACCCTGTACAGGCAAATATCATATTTAATAAAAGATCCACTAGAAACTAAATGCTTAWAGCTAGTTGAAATTGTCAAAAAATTGTAATTTGGAGTAGAAAATATCAGTGATTTCCTGACTTTGAAACGATTGATTTTTATTGATGACCACTTAACACATTTAACTAATTGTTAAATAGTAACTTCCGTACATACAAAAAATTAAATATCTAATAGGCATTTTTCCACTGGGTGCCCAAGGGATTTTTTTATCATTTTACCGTCTAATCATATTTAAAGCATGGCGGTTTTAATGATGTCAAGATCTCATTTTTTCCTAATGAGAGGTTATTAAAAATCACTAAAGCGGATCAACATTCCTTGTGCAGCGGCACCTGAAACACTTTGTTAATGATCAATTCCAGTTTTCCACTAAATTTGTTTAATGTAAAAAATTATGTTAATAAGCATGGCTAAGCAAAGAATATCATGGGTGCTTAGGCACTCTTATTTGATGAGAAATAAAAGCAAATTACGAAACGGCTAAAGCAAGATAAATCATTGAAGATTTTCTTTGAGTTCTCACTGAGTAACAAGAAATAAGTCACATAATTTGATAAGAAAGTCAATACAGTTAAAATAATAAGTTGTAAAATGTTAATATCTATTAGCGATGAGAATAGTGGATAATAAACTTGCACACGGTAGAACAAACAAATATGTTCGTACATGTTTAGTTTTTTTGCACACCGTGCAAGTAATAAAAGTAATCCATTCTGTCTTCAATATTTAAATGCGGTTTACAATAGCACTTCCATGTTATATTTTCAGGATTAATATAATTATTGTCAAGGGCTCCCACAATTCTCTGGTTGGAATAAAAGTTGATGCATGTGCGTCAATAATACGTGCTTACTGATATCAACCCGAGGGGAAACAATCCCAGAGAAATTAATGCATAGATATTTTCAAGAGAAACTAGAAATCATCGTTTACGTGCTCAGAATATTATTTAAATTAGGCTTTAGATAATCTGCATTATTTCCTAGTTATTATTAAACTTAGATCGAACTTTAATATTTTCTAGCGCGGTCTTACTACTAATGACATTGATGCCTATATTTATATGAGCCATAATTTACATAAGAACGTTAGAAAAATTTACATTTTCATACATTGCTTATGCATTTTTGAATCTAGACTCGTAGCGTTTCATTTACATTAGATACTATAGGCTAATGGTTCAGAAACTAATTTCAAAATTTCTAATAATCCTTTATAATGTTCTGTAAATTTTTATAAAATTTTCTCAATTCTTATTGTTTCGTATTCTAAGTGATGATTCTCACTAGCAAAGACTTTTCACTTGTTCGCAGATCCCTAACCAGAAACCCCATTCCAGAAGAGCAAAACGGCTGTAAAGTGCCACTTCAAACGTCCTCTCTAAAGCGACCTACTTGGTTAATGCAACATCAAACCATTCGCTCTGGCAAAACCAGCTTGTCCAAACAAAGTACACTGGGTGCATCTTTAATGGGCACAGCTTCGAGCCCATCTACGACTTCATCGTCAGACGATGACGATGACCTACTGGTGAAAAGTGGTTTCTGATCCGAAAGTTCACCCTTGAAAAAGGGGCCGATTTCCAAATCCCTTAGTCCAATATTGAGTAATATTCATATGAAGTATCAAGCTTTGACTCGAAAGTTTAGTAAAGATCTAGTTTAGGTTCAGTTAAGAACGTCTTTCAGGTAAGTTTTTAGTGGTTTATTCTTAAGCAATTTCATTTTCAGTTGCGGTGGATTTTGTAATATTCACAACCATTACCAATTGAGAAAGACATTGTTTGATTTTTATGATAATTGAATCATATAGTCTAGTTAGTAATCTTACTTTTTCATATGAATAAACATACTTTGAAACAATATCACAGATGGAACCTTATCAATGTCCACATGTTCCGTAGTGAAGTTTTTGGAGGTTAAAACTGAGGAGAGGAAAACTGCGCAATGTTACCTATTTTGATAGGAAACAATTTAAGTAAATGGAATTTTCGGTTTCTTCTTCTACTTGTGACTACTTCTTGAGAATATCGATATTTAAAAAATATATAAGAGACAAATAGTACATCTCCCAATAATAATACTAATTTGACCATTGGAAAGAAGTTCCAGCAAAGCAATTAGGGGTGAATCAGGGTTTGATTTTAGAAAAGCTATTGTTCGATAATTTCAGCAGTTTTTTCAGAAATTCTGCAAGTATTGAGATACTTATTGCCTATTGCATTGAGGATTAATGCTAATTGCCTTCTATCCCGGCCAAATGGCTATACCATTACAAGAAGTGATGGTATTTATCAAAGACCCGGACCGAAACGAAATAACTGTTCCGTTTCGGTTTCGGTTCAAGGCAGAATTTAAAATTTCGGTTCCGTTACGGTTCCGGTTTAGAAAATAATTTCAAATTCGGTTCCGTTCCGGTTCCGGTTTTTTTCGGTTTATTTCGGTTCCAAAATCTATATATAACAACGAACAATTACGTACCCTCCCCAAAAAATATCTTATATCAACAAACATAACATAACTTAATTACCTACCTTTATTGACATCTTACACAATTTGCAAACAGATTTATCTTCTATTTTAATGAAGTCAAACTGCCCGTGAGCAACATTTGTTATTTTTCGACCCATAATTGTAGGCATCAGTAAGCGCATAGATTGTAACCGTGTAGAGTTATTTTTGTTTTGTAAATGTTGAGGTTGCCAACTTTTTCATTTCCAAATTGCGCAGGCGCACTGTGCTCTGAAGAGGCAATTAATCTGTAGGATATTAGGTACTCAAGTTATTTATTCAAATACTATAAAGACCACAGGCAAAAAAAGTGCTTTGCTTTTTCTTATCACTGAGATCACCGGTTAATAACGGCTTTAACGCGTAATATGTCTTTTCCTTTAAAAAAATTGTTATTTTCTGATTTATACAAGATCTTGTCGTTTAGGACCAGCCGCAAAGAATAGCGTTTATATTTCCTCCCTTTGACGGCGTCGCGGCGCCGACTATTAAAACGATTCCAGGAACTAACTAAAAGAAGTGCCGACCCTTTGTCGGCACATCATACACCGCCTCCCACCAGAACACAGAAACGTAATTTTATATTCATTTGCAGGAGGATAAATGATTATTTTCATTTGCTTCTAAAATGTACAGTAATTTCTGTCAAACGTTACAGGCAGAACCGAAAAACCACCGAAAAAACCGAAATAAAATATTTCGGTTCCGGTTCAGCATCTAACAGTGTGTTAATATCAAATATGGGTTCCGTTACGGTACCGGTCCAAAAAAAAAACGGTTCCGTTCCGGTTTTGGGTTCATATCGGTTCCGGTGCGGATCCCTGGTATTTATTACATTAACATTTTAAAAAGTAATTTGCCAGAATCCTCAGAGTCTGAGGAGCAACTGTAACATCGAAATTTTTTATTCATAAAGAGCGTTCAATATTTCAAACTTTAACCTTGTTTCTACTTAAATCAAATTATTTAAATAAAACTACTCAATTTGACCAAGTGTTTGATKSACCATTTGGTGACACATATTTAACCAAATAACAAYCAGAAGCAATCAGATCCTTATGTTTGAAAATAATAATTAATAATTTGTAAGGTAAATTTGAAAAGTAATCGATCTTGATTAAATTTSTGGTGGGATAACAAAAGCACTGCAGGTAAACGTTCYTAATAAGCCTGGGTAACTCAGTTAATTTTCAAGAAYTGGCACAGGGTTGCCGAAATGGCTTGTTGTGCCAACCCAACGCACCGGCACCGTAACTCACCGGCGCAGTTGCGTTTTTGCTGTTTGATTGTCATTGACGTTTTTTTAAATTAATTTTTGTCGTAAACTTGCACCTAAATGTTTGATATTCAAATTCCATCTGACTTTTTGTGACAAATCTATCAGAGTTTACTCACGACGTTGAAAACTAACCGTGTGGCTCAAATGGTTCTTKAGCAACGTCAAAAACGGTGGCGTAATGTTCCAGTCGATTTCGCAATTTAAAAAGAAAACAGGCAAATCTAAAATCCTTGACTTTTTTAAACCAAAAMCATAAMRCTGGAACYCATATTTGCATATCTGAAACGGTTCTTTAGMGACAAGCCTCAGATGAGCTTGCAAAAAATACCAAGCCGCCCAAARGATTCCCAAAGTTTAAAAATTTCTTCTGAAGGAATCAATGGTTTAATCGGAACCAACTACACACTACTAGTAAGTTGATGCTAATTGTATTGAATACTGGAACCCAMATTTCCATATCTAAAGCGGTTTTTTWGCGAAAAGCTTCAGATGAGCTTGATAGAAAAAAGCTAAGCCGCCCAAATATTTCCAAAGTTTAGAAAATAACTACGAAAGAATCAATAGCTCAATCGATATCAAATCCACGTTACGAGTCAGTTGATGAATGTCGGAAACATTCTACATGTTCATGGCAACCAGGGGCAAAGTAATGCTGAACTTACCGAAAGCTGCGTAGTGCCACCTGGAAAGAAAGAAGAAAATGTGATTAGTACAGCAGGAAATCTGTTTAAAGTCAAACTTATTTGAAATCAGCAAAGCAAAGAGAGAGACTAAACTCAGTTCAAGCGCTAAAAGATTTTAAGATTAGAGATGATTCTTACAAGCTTTTGGTAAGCTGGCGCCCCATTCTCCATTTTCTACCCATTAACCCTCAAGAAGTTCACTACACTTTCACAAACTACCGCACTTGCCATAAGAGCCACAATGATTCTCTGTTTCTCTCTAAGAATCCAATTATTGACTGATTTCGTCGGTAGCAATCTGGACATTCATACACCTTTTCGAGAAAAAATTACATATTTAATTGTTTACTCTTTCGATGATTCATGCTTTACTTGGCAGTTCGATTTCAGATTGTTTATTGTTGACATTTTTGGAAAAAGTGCCTGTTCGCACGGCAATAATTCCAAAAATAAATTTATTATTCTAAAAATGTTGACAAAGCAAAAAAACAAAAAATCGCGCAGAAATCTCTTCAACATGATCAAATATGTTGCTCAATTTCCGAGCGATGATGGAAACCAACGAAATTTTAATTATTTAAAAATGACCTTAAAAAGTTCTGATTTCAAGAATTATTCGCCACAAGCGTGGCGCAGTGACGAGCGATGAGTTATAACTCACAACTCACAGAGCCGCATAATTAGATTTGCTACGAAGGAGAATGTGAGCAATTAATGGAGACCGGACTAATAGAAAATGTACAATTGCAAATAGGTACCCACGGTAGATTTCAATTTTTTTGTGTTTTCTGATAAATCAAGCTTAAATATTGAATATATTTGACAGACAAAACGAAAAAAGAAATCCAACATTAAAAATGAAACATTATGAATTAAACTCAAAACTGAACTTATCTCCAAATTAAATGGATATGAACAAAGCGTGACGGTACGTTCATCGCGATAATTAAAAGTGATTTCAATTCAACATCAATAAAATCGATTGTTCGAAGGCACAAAATATATTTTTTAGCATCTACATGCATTTCAATCCGTATCGCAAGATACGGAGAAATATATTTCTAACGATCATTAAATTACTTCTTTATTGAGTGGAAATTGTCGTGGTGTCTCATATTAATCTTGAACTGCACTTAAATAATAATCCGTGTTACAAACTTTACGTAAATATTTCAAAAGCTGTAAAATAAAAATCATACAGACAGAAAGATCGATAACCTTTTTCGAATTAAGTTATATTATTATTATTATCATTATTATAAAAATCATAGGCAGATTCACACCCGTTGCATGTGGACATGATTTGTGGTTGTCCAAAATGCACAATCTCAGATGTGAAGTTTTTAGAGGATTATTAAACTGATTCGTTTTTGCAAAAAGAGGTCAAGTGCTGCACATTAAAGTTATTTAAATATTGAATGCTAAAATGAGCTTCAAGCTTTTCTGAAAAATAAATCAACACAAACCAGAAGCAAAATTTACCTATAGTTACGTATTGTATAAGTTAGAAATATCGATTATTCTTAAGGATGTTCTAGAAAAAGATCGAAGAAAACGTGACTACAAGTGTAAGTACGGTTTGAAATTACAGCCAATTTTAATTATTATATTTGCCCACGTTTGCAATAATTCCGAATAGCAGGAATTATTGCTCTCGGTTTCCAAAGCAAATTAAATTTCATCACTATCATTTTCGTTTATGTTTATGATTATCGATGTTCTGCATTTAATTCCGAACTGACTTTTCCAATTTAATTCCTTCCAAACCCATAACTGATTTTTTGGAAGCGTTGATTCGAATTTTGCTGTATTTAGCTTGAAATCTTGCATTTTGAACTTGATTCTACAGCTCGTTATGTACGATTGAATTTGTGTTTATTCAATAGTTTTTAAGTCACTGCTTTACAGAGATGTTTGGTGGCACAACGTTTCGGGTGATTACATCTCCAAACGTTTTCACGACAAAGCTACTTCCTTAAATACTCCTTTGAATCCATTGTGTCTTAAAAATGATTAAGAAAAGTAATTGTATTTATTTGCCCAAGCAGAGATGAAACCGATAATTCTAGGGCTGAAATACAGGGTCAACAAGAGAAAACGAAGTAGAGGCGATTTTAGAAATGTGTTATATTATTTTAGAGTGTTGCTATACAACTTTAAAGTTTCTTTAGCAAAACAATTTTTTTTCCGAAATTTTAAAAAATATGTAAAAGAAAAATATCTCGCAAGTACCTACTATTCCATTGAAATAATTATTGATCTAATTTGCGTTTATATGGCTCAAAACTGAAGTACTTTATAATTCAACGGCGATGTAACTAGCACTTGTAAATCTATAGTTAGCAAGCTTAAATAATTAAGATGTCGTTTCATATCTTTGATATCATCGGTGTCTAAAATATGCAGAAAATTGTAGGTTATTTGTATTTAAACCCTTTTCAAATTCACAAAAACACGTCAAAATTGCAAGAAAAAGGTGTTTGCATAATAACACTAACTGTGTGGTTATACTGTAGCGGAAACTGCTGATGTTTTCATGTATTGTGGTGATCTGCGTTGAGAGATAGAGGAAACAACAGCAACCGTAGAAATGTGTAGGGTGGCAATGACAAAATAATTGATAAAATTGTTAACAGCGTAGGTAAATTTATTCGTAGATAGTGTTTTATTAATTACTAATTGTAGATAAGGTAGTTAGAGAACAACTAGCACCGTAAGGTAAAAGTGGGTCATTACCATGAAGATTTATTTAAATGACAAACTCATCACTATTTCGAATACCCAGTCGGACAATCGATTATGTTATGGGGAATTAAGTTATTATCAACCTGCGCATGTAATTGTCTCAAGGAGCAGTAAAGATTAAAAAATACTTAAGTGGTTTCCGCGTAGTAGACTGGCTGAACACTACAATATTGTGGGTAATTCGTTAATACTTGCTGATATTTTCTTTTATCAGTTCTCATTAAAATAATTCGTAGGTTTATTTCCATCTATCTACTTATAGCTTTTTGTAATAATAGTCGCCAATTTATTGCGGAAAAAGTATGATAATTATGTCTTTAATGAAAAAATGACCCAGCCAGACTATTAAGAGTTATTAATATATTTTTGCCTGATATGCAAAGAATATATAGTACTTTTTCGCATTGAACAATCAAATTTGACAAATCCAAAATTAATAATCAGTGAGGTACCAATTCATAATGAATAAAGACGAATATAACGAAACTAACTCACTACAGTATGCGTCAATTCCAGCGTTAAATCTTCTTGGTACATTGACCGAAAAAATTGTTGTTTGATATTGTAACTCAGATGTACCTAATTATTAAAGTTTTGCAAGCCAGTTGACATTTTCCACCCAGTTTCACACATTCAATACCTGTGCAAAATAAGCTTTGTGGGTAATTGAATAATAGCTAAGTGAATATTTTGTACGATCAGCAAAATAGATAACAACGTTTCACTCGCACTCGCGGCATACACCCTCAAAAGCTAGTCGGCAGCAAACGTGTTCAGCTCTGCATTTGGATTATGACAAGCATTGATAATGATTCCTTATATGAATGGTTCAAAGAATCTAACTCCAAAATCGATCCCTGTCCATAAAATGTTCAGTTGTAAAACCGAGCCGTAAAAAAGTTGCACTTGAATCACCCAATGCGAATTGGGTTCAATCAATATTGAATATTGATTGAATGGATAATTTTATAATTCCATGGCATGCACTTTGATTTCAAATTGTAAACCTGGCTTCAAAAAGTTTCGTCAATAAACATTTTTAACAATTTTAGTTCGAATGTTAAAGACCAAAAAGTGAATTATCTTGTAAATATCGCAAACTTTAGTAATTTCTTGCTTGCTTGCTAACAAGCAGGTGTTAAAAAAACTAATTGCCACGGTACAAATATTTAAACAAATAAAGCATCTTTATCTATTTCTTGACAACCCATTAATTAGTTGATAATTTTGCAAAAATTTGACTACTTGAATATGCTTATAAAAAAATCAAGGTTTCTATCTGGCGTTCAATATTTGAGCTGGTCGTACACTATCATTGATATTAGAACAATATGTTGTTTTTAGCTCAATGACAAATCTAGTCCTAGTTGTAAAAATGTAGTTACGCCATTATGTAAATAAGTCTTTAAGATTGTGCCTCAAACTAGTATGTTGACAGTGATTTGCAAATTTTCGCCATATTTTTAGTGTATTATGAACTTGATATTATAATGCGACGGTTCTTATAGGAAAATAGATCCAACAATCGAACACACAGTTTACTAATCAAGGCATTTGATTGAATAATATGATTAAATAATTGGTTAAAAGTTTAGTAATAAACTATGTTTATATGATAATGAAATGTATACCTATGTAAGATTATAACCAAAATGAATGCAGGGTTTGATGACCAAGAGGAGGCGGCAACTTTTAACTGTCAAGTGTGTCCAACTTTCGTTTTATTGAAATATCATAATAAATCTTCCTCCTCAAGCCAAGTTGAGTATTTAGGTATTTTAGTGACATAAAAAATATTTTACTTAAACTCTAACTAACTTCTCATATCTTCTTTTTCAAATATCATCCACTAGATTTTAAAACAACTTTTACAGCGCCTGCTGTATATTTGTAACTAAATATAACTTGAAACTACATAATATGTAACATGATTGAATAACTGTAATAAGCATTTTCTAAATGGAGATAGTTGAGAATGATAGGATGTGTAACTTTATTTGAACTCATTCGTTTTTTTTAATTAGTTTTTATATAAAATCTACTCCCACTTTTTCCTGCAGATTTGTTTTGCGTGTCTAGCAGGGATATTACCTAATTACTTATATCTAGTTTCGTATTTGGAAAAGTGTGTGATGGTATTCTTGTAAATATAATTATACGTTTTGTAGAAACATATTTTTACATCCGGACAATACCATATGTGCAAAAAACGACTTTGAATTTGCCATTGTTAATTAATGATGAATTCTTAATAAATTACTCTTAAATCTGCA